TGTGCGTTTGAGGATAGAAGAAGACAACAAAAATGCTGAAAAGAAGTCACGTGGAAACTCGACAATAATAAGGGCTAACATTGTTGAGGAGGCGCCACAAAATAAGAAGAGAAAGAAGGCTTCTGGACCAAAGAATTACCCAAGCAAGAAAAAGTTCAAGGGTAATTGCCACAACTGTGGAAAATCTGGGCATAAGGCCGTGGATTGTCGTGCACCAAAGAATGATAAGAAGAAGAAGAATCAAGCTAACATGGTTGAAAATGCTGAAGAAATGGAGGACTTGTGTGCCATGTTGTCTGAATGCAACTTGGTAGGAAATCCTAAAGAATGGTGGATAGATTCTGGAGCCACCCGCCATGTTTGTGCTAACAAGGAGTTATTTTCTTCTTATGCCCCCGCAGGACCCGACGAGACAATTTTCATGGGAAATTCGTCTACAGCCAAAATTGAAGGAGTTGGCAAGATTGCGTTGAAGATGACGTCGGGAAAAATAGTGACTCTAAACCAAGTTCTCCATGTTCCAGAAATTCGCAAGAATCTTGTGTCTACCTCACTTCTTGTCAAGAATGGATTCAAATGTATTTTTGTTTCTAATAGTGTTGTACTAAGTAAGAATGATATGTATGTAGGAAAAGGTTACCTGAATGAGGGCCTTTTTAAGCTAAATGTAATAGCAGTTCCTATCAATAAAGTTAATGCTTCTTCTTACTTACTTGAGTCAAACACTTTATGGCATTCACGCTTAGGTCACGTCAACTTCAAAACATTGCGAAAAATGATAAATTTAGAAGTATTGCCAAAATTTGATTGCATTAATTCCAAATGTCAAATATGTGTGGAATCAAAGTATGCTAAGCATCCTTATAAGTCCGTTGAAAGGAATTCAAGTCCTTTAGACTTAATTCACACAGATATTTGCGACATGAAGTCAACACCATCTCGCGGTGGGAAAAAGTATTTTATTACTTTTATTGACGATAGCACGAGATATTGCTATGTTTATTTACTTAATAGTAAAGATGAGGCAATTGATGCTTTCAAGCAATACAAGAGTGAAGTTGAAACACAACTAAACAAAAAGATCAAAATGATAAGAAGTGATAGGGGTGGCGAATATGAATCTCCTTTTGAAGAAATATGTTTGGAAAATGGCATTATTCACCAAACAACTGCCCCTTACTCTCCACAATCTAATGGAATTGCGGAGAGAAAGAATCGAACGTTGAAAGAGATGATGAATGCGTTGTTGATAAGTTCTGGTTTACCACAGAACTTGTGGGGGGAAGCTATACTTACAGCTAACCGAATAATCAACCGTGTACCTCATAGTAAAACACAGTCCATTCCCTATGAAAAATGGAAAGGAAGGAAGCCCAGCTTGAAATACTTCAAAGTGTGGGGGTGTTTAGCTAAGGTACAAGTTCCTAAACCTAAAAGGGTTAAGATAGGTCCAAAAACGGTTGATTGTGTATTTATTGGATATGTAACCAATAGCAAGGCATATCGTTTTCTGGTTCATAAGTCAGAAAATCCTGAGATTCACGTTAATACGATAATAGAATCAGATAATGCTGAATTCTTTGAAACTATTTATCCGTATAAAAAGGAAAGTGAAGTGACCTACCAAAAGTCAAAACGACCTCGGGAGGAAATAACAGATGGTATGCCTAATGAGGAAAATCCGAGAAGAAGTAAACGTCAACGGACATCTACTTCATTCGGTCCAGATTTTCTGACTTTCCTGCTAGAAAATGAGCCTCGTACCTTCAAGGAAGCAATGTCTTCCTCAGAAGCACAATATTGGAAAGAAGCTGTCAATAGTGAAATAGAATCCATATTGAGCAACCATACCTGGGAATTGGTTGATCTTCCTCCAGGTAACAAAACATTGGGTTCTAAATGGATTTTCAAGAAGAAAATGAAAGACGATGGTACTATTGACAAATACAAGGCAAGACTTGTTGTCAAAGGATTTAGACAGCGAGAAGGTCTTGACTATTTTGACACATACTCGCCGGTAACAAGAATTACATCCATTCGGATGCTAATAGCGTTAGCCGCCTTGTATGATCTTCAAATCCATCAAATGGATGTAAAAACAGCCTTCTTAAATGGTGATTTAGAGGAAGAAATTTACATGGACCAACCTGAAGGGTTTGTGGTTCCGGGAAAAGAAAAGAAGGTGTGTCGACTTGTTAAGTCTCTTTATGGACTAAAACAAGCACCCAAGCAATGGCATGCGAAATTTGACCAAACAATGTTGTCAAATGGCTTTAAGATTAATGAATGTGATAAATGTGTTTACATTAAGAACGTTCCAAATCATATAGTCATTGTTTGCTTATATGTTGATGATATGCTAATAATGAGCAAAGACATTGCCGACATTCAAGCTACTAAGCGTATGCTTGCTAGTAAGTTTGATATGAAAGACTTAGGAGTTGCCGATGTAATTCTAGGAATTAAAATCCAGAGGACTCCTCAGGGTCTAGCTTTGTCTCAATCACATTACGTGAAAATGGTACTTGAAAAATTCAAACACTTGGAATTTAGAAGTGCAAGAACTCCAATTGACTTAAATCATCATCTTATAAAATTTGACTTTAAATTACGTCTCAATTTGGAGTATGCTCGTGTGTTGGGAAGCTTAATGTACATCATGAACTGTGCACGACCTGATATAGCTTGTGCGATAAGTAAACTTAGTCAATTCACAAGTAATCCCAACAAACATCACTGGGTAGCAATGAAACGAGTTCTGGGATATTTGGAATATACCCAAGACTACGCTTTGCACTACAATAAATATCCTGCGGTTATCGAAGGATATAGTGATGCAAATTGGATAACCGGCTCAACAGAAACAAAGTCCACAAGTGGATATGTTTTTACTGTTGGTGGAGGAGCAGTATCTTGGAAGTCTTCCAAACAAACGTTCATTGCTCGCTCTACAATGGAATCAGAGTTTATAGCTTTGGATAAAGCCGGTGAAGAAGCTGAATGGCTTCGAAATTTCTTAGAAGACATTCCGTTCTGGCCAAAACCTTTGGCTCCTATTTGCATACATTGCGATAGTGAGGCTGCAATAGGACGGGCAGGGAGCGTTATGTATAACGGAAAGTCTCGTCATATACGACGAAGACATAACACCGTTAGACAACTACTTTCTAGTGGAATTATCACTATTGATTATGTAAGATCAAAGGATAATGTGGCGGATCCGCTTACAAAAGGCTTAACTAGAGAGGGAGTTGAGAAATCATCTAAGGAAATGGGACTATGGCCGAGGACAAGTCAACATGGCGGTAACTCTACCTAGAATTTTGGATGTTCCGAGATCTAGGTTCAAGGAGCTCAAACAAAGTTGTGATTGACCGGTTCAACATTGTCAAAGTAAAATCTTTGGTCCCTTCTCGTGATGAAGACAATGTTCAGTAACAAGGATAGAACTTTACACGTTCTTTAATGATTACCTAAGTTTGATGTGGTAGTTATCAAATAGTGTCAATCTAAAGGATTACACGTTTAGGAATCACCTATGTAAGTGTGAAGTGGAAGCCGCTTCAATGAGAATTCTGTAAGGCCAATTCTCTACGCACTTATGAGACCAGGCGGTGTTCATGGCTGAAACGAACACAACAATGAGAACTAAAAGACGGTTAAGGGTTGATTGTGTGACATATGGTTGTCTAGGTATACACTAAAGTTCGACGGTTCAAAGATATCAAATCTACCGATTGACCGAGTATATCCGACATATGTTCACTACGGAAAGTTCAAAGGGAAACCTACTTATCCAGATGCAATTTATCCTTACTTGCAAATCACACAACTTTCATCTATGATCTTTCTTGATACAGCCATTCCCATTCATGTGGGGGATTGTTGGACTTTAAGCCATTGGGCTTTAAAGTAGAAGAAGTGTGAATTGGAAATGGAGGGAAATAAAATGGAGGGAAAAATGAAAATTTGAAGAAGTGAACTTTTGTCTTGCACTTTGTCCCTCATTGGTGAGGGACAATCACATTTGTGTGCTTATATATAGAATCACTTCTTAAAGCTCTTAAAAGGAGTTGAAGAGAATGAACCCTCGCGCCGTCGTCGTCGCTCGCTCGGCTTATCTTCGGCTTTGGATTTGGATTTGGATTTGGATTTGGATTTGGATTTGGATTTGGATTTGTCAGATCGATCGATTAAGATTATTTTTGGACAAAATTTATTTAATTATTTAATAATTAATTAAATGCCAAATCACTGCTGAAAATACGCCAGAACCCTGCTGAAGATTCAGAGGGACTCTCTGGCCGCGATTCTGCCGTAACCGCGTTAGAACCGCGGCAGGCAGATTCAGAGAGCCTCTCTGACCGCGGTTCTGCCGTAACCGCAGTAGAACCGCGGCAGGCAGCGTATTCTTCTGAAAAGGCACCTTTTCCAGACACCTCTTCTGATAATTGCCTATAAATTCTGAGGCAAGGCTCCATTTTCTGCACACGAAAAACACTCCAGAACTTCTTTCTTTTTGAATATACTGCATCCTAATTCGCAGTCTCTCTCTCTCCAATTCGTAAATGTGATTTTGCTCCGTTCTTTGAGTTCGTTGGGATCCTGCAGTTTGTATTGCCACTGTTGTAGGAAGGTTTATTCCGTTTTATCCTGGGAGGATTTAATCCATTACCTTGGCAACTTGTGAGGGGGTTAAAATTCCTTAAGGACACACAAGAAACTTGTGGACTCGGAATATTTCTGATTCTCTACTATTTTCCAGATTTCTTTAATTCTTCTACCAGTTTTTTTTTTGATTTTGTGTTTTAACACAGTATGGCTCACGTGAACGCACCAACTTATAAGCATGCTCTATTGATTAAAGTTAGAATTGCCTCAATATTGCAAACACAATTTCTGACAACCTATGGTAAATTCCTATTATGCCCTTATTTTTTGCTTATTATGTCATTCTAAGAAGAGGTTACCCAAAGTCATTTGGCTTGTTCCTTCTTAGTTATTTCGACAACCTAATACAGCTTCAATATGTGCTGGAAACTCGAAGAAGTCGGAGATTTTGAGGTTTTGGCCACCTAATTTCCCACCTGAATCTTATCATTCAAGGTATTGGCGTAGTTCAAAAGTTTAGTTTTATCCTCTATTTTGTTGCCCTTTATTGTTCCAATTTTGTCACCTTTAGATTGAAATCTGTAACTGAATTGAGTTGGGTTTTTGCAATTTCGACCTACTGTGTAATAGCAGGGATTTCACGATGGGTTTAACTGAAATGAATCTTCTCTCTTCCTCTGTGAAATTGACGAATAAAAATGCATTTCCATTCCAAAATGAAATATAATCATTAAGCTTAAGAGAGCTTTTTTTTACTGTTTGGGGCCAGCCAGCTTGTGCCCACTCCGGCTATTTTCACAGGGTATCTGATACTTCCCTTCAGCACATGTACCAGGGCTTAGACAGATGAGAAGAAATCAACTAGTGTTTTTTGTCTTCGAGGAATTTGAACTTGAGACCTCATGGTTCTCTGCCCCCTTTATTGACCAATAGGATACACTCTTAGGTGCGCAAATCTTTTAACAACTTGTGAGGAAATTGGTCTAATGTGATTGTATCTTTTACGCCCCCTGGGCGTTGGTCTAGTGGTAAGAGTGTTGCTAATGTGTGGATTAGGTTCACGTCACGGGTTCGATCCTTGCCACAGACAAAGCCTGGTATTAAGAGAGACGGGCCCAATTATCTATCGAGTACCGAACCTTGCGCCTCAGGTCCTCGAGACTTTCTCGATTATCACCAAAAATGTTATTCTATCTTTTATTAATAGAGGTCAGCTTGGGTTAGGCATCTCATACGGGTTTGATCCTTGCTGCAAATAAAAAAAATACTGGTTATTTAAGTGGAGAAGGTGTGTGTGTGTGTGTGTGTGTGGAGGGGGGGGGGGGGAGAGGCATTATCCACCGAGTTTTGAAACATGCACTACTTGTTCTCGGGGATTTCTTGGTTATCAAAAAGAAAATGTTACTCTATCTTTTATCAATAGAGCTCAGTTTGGAAAAGCATATTAGACTAATAGAGTGCCTTCTTGAAGCTCTCTGTGCTGTTAACAAGATTGATTCTTGTCAAGCTTCACACTCCATTATGCAACTGAGACTTCACGTGGCAAAAAGTTTAGCACATATATCCAGAATTTGCGAAAGATCTCTTTTCCTCCTCTTCTTTTGCCATTCTTTAGGTTAAAGCTGGTTGGTGCTCTTTCAAATACATTCTTATTGCTTTTTATGGTACCAAGTTTGCACTTTTATGTGCTGATTTTAGCTAATTCTTAGTTAATTTGGTAATACAGTTAGTAATCCTGCTCGAATGTATACCAATATGCTTCTGTAGGCGACAAGATATTGGTTCTTTAGTATAGCTGTTGCTAGTTTATTTTTGAAATAAGTTTGAGAAGTATTTCTGCATTTTTCACTGTCAAGATAATTTACGTTGAACAATGAGTACAATTTAGTGAGACATCTGCGCGTTTTGAAGCTTATCTATGAAATTGTGGAACCTTATTTTGTTTGATTGACTTCTCATATAGAAACTCTTCACAATAGTTAAAGTGGTTATTTTGTTCAGAGCTAATAATATTCACTCTTTGACATGGAATGACTGCTTCCTTAAAAAAAAGATGGAATCAAACTTACTAGTGACTAGAGAGGCATCATAGTCTCAATGGCTAGATCGAACCATGCTGGTTTTGTGTGATTTGACATTGTGATATATTGTATATTTATAATATTTATGTCATTTACTTGGGACCATGTGTTGATCACAATGATGTTGTTTCTAGGTTCACCAAATTTGATATTTTTGCTTTGATTGCTTCGTTTGGGCCTTTTGAAGTTCTAACATGTAGCAGAAGTGGGTCAATGTTAGTTTTTTGTTGTTGTTGATGAAGTAATAATAGATTTCATTGCTGGCATCAAGAAGATGCATAATACTAAAGTTATGGAAGCAAAAAAGACTTTGTTAGCTCATTTACAAAGAGACTATTCTAGTACCAGGGAGCTAACGAAGTTCAAAAAGTTGTCAGGAGAATCTAAGGGGGAAAGGTAATGCCAACTATAAAGATACAAAAGACATCTAGCCTCGAGGGAATGATTTGGAGTTGATAAACATTCAAATATCGTAGTAATTTGTTTCTTCTTAGAGATCTAGCTAATGCAATCTCCACATCAAAGTAACTAATTGTTAGATTGATATTAGAATGACATAATTTCATTTTACAGGGTTTACATGAAAAGTTAGCTACTGGAGAGTGAAAGACGGTAAATTCAGCCAAGGGACGCAGCACAAAGATAAAATGGGATTTCAGAAATTTCTCAGATCCATTCCAAAACAAACCGCTTCTGATCGGACTTCACTGTTACCTCTTGCATTGAGAACTATAGATTCCTCAGTGTGCACCACCAACAACCTCACCCCTGTTGCCCAAAACCAACTGAACAAACTCATGGAAATCCACCTTAAACCTTCTTTCACAGCCAAAGATTTTCTCTCCTTCCTCAAGAATCACGTCCATTACCACCCTGTCCTCACTAACCTTGACTTCTACCTCTTCAACTATGCTGCTTCTGTTGATTCTTTCCGCCATGATCACTCCACCTTTGAGTGGATGGTCCGCACGCTGGCCATCACCCACCGCCTCCAATTTCTTACTTCTCTCCTCCAATTTGTTGCTTCTAATCCCTGCCCGTGTGCTGATGGTATTTTCTCTTGCCCCAAAACTGAGCCTATTTTTCGTTTTGCCATTAATGCTTATTGCAAAGCTGGTAGAATTGATGATGCATTGTTAGCTTTTGACACAATGAGAAGATCGATTGATGGGAAGCCTGATGTTGCTGTTTACAATATAATAATTCATGGATTTGTGAAGTTTAAGCATTTTGATAAGGCTCTGGAGTTCTATCATAGGATGATTAGAGAACGAGTGAAGCCTGATGTAATTACGTTCAATACTCTGATTGCTGGGTACTGTAAGAACTCGCAATTGGGCTTGGCTTTGCAAATGTTTAAGGAGATGAAAACTCATGGATGTGCACCAAATGTAGTCAGCTTTAATACTTTAATTAAATGGTTTCTTTTGGATGGTAAGTTTGAAGAGGGGATTGGGATGGCCTATGAGATGACTGAGATGGGATGGGAGATTTCGGCAGTGACTTGTGAGATTTTGGTTGATGGTCTTTGCAGGAAGGGAATGATGTTGAAAGCGTGCGATTTATTGGTTGACTTTTCAAGGAAAGGGTTGCTGCCAAGAACATTTGATTACTTTGGGTTACTTGAGAGGCTTTGTAGTGAAGGGAATGTGGCTAGAGCAATGGAATTGGTGAATGACTTATGGAGGAACAGGAATTCTCCAAGCTTAATCGCTTGTACAACCTTGATTGAAGGTTTAAGGAGAACAAGAAGGATTGATGAAGCATATGAAATTATGGAGAAAATGCTACAGGAATGTATGCTTCCGGATAGTGTAACCTTTAATTGTCTACTTAGTGACATGTGTGATGCAGGAAGAGCGAAGGAAGCGAATAAGATGAGGTTATTGGGTTTAAACAAGGGTTTGGATCCTGAGGCTGTGACGTACAATATTTTGATATCAGGTTTTAAGAGGGAGGGTAAAAAGAAGGAATCGGAAGCTCTGGTGGAAGAGATGTTGGATTTGGGGTTTATACCTGATATTGCTACTTATAACAGGTTGATTGATAGACAAGCTAAATCAAAAAGTTAATTTTCTTCAAGTCGAGAAAACTTATAAGGTTGCAATTTATCGATCCATGTGGAAACAGGAGACATGCATATTAGGGAGTACCAATGGATAAAGTCAATGATTTTCCTTCTTTTACTTCCAATCATCTACAAAGAATATTGGTGTGTTATGTATTGTCTGTGTCTTTTTGAGAGTGAGTCGACTGAAGCAGCAGCTTGGAGTTCTCATGGATTGTAATGGCACAAAATTTTGTCATCATCAACTCTACTATGTCTGAATTGCAACACATCATAGCAGATATGCTGGTTATTTCTTAATTAACATGGAGAACAGTAAACTCTTCTGTGCACATTGAAAGAAGCTCTGCTATGCTGGAAAGAGATTCAACAATGAAAAAAAAAAGATTGATTCTTTTGGATCCTTCCTTTCTTCAAACGAAACGAAAGAAGATAGAATCAGGCCGATTCCCGAAATGCCTTTATGTATATTCCTCAATGTCCCAGCTATTCATAGAATGTGAGAAGCAGATGATTAGAATCAGGCCGATTCCTGAAACGCCTTTCTGGATATTCTTCAATGCCCCAGCTATTCGCGGAACATGAGAAACAGATGATTAATCATCTTTTTCAGAAGAAATCGAATAATTTCTTGGGTATCCTACAAGATCTATTCGTTCTTTTTTCTCTGATAGATGGCTAGTACTTCATCTAGGTTCCCTACTGTAAAGAAGCAACTCAAGAGAATATGGAGAACAGTACTCTTGTGTATTCCATGGGCAGTTTATCGGAGAGGAAACACACATGTTTTGGAGCCACTGAAGAAGCAATTGTTTAACTGAAATAACATAGAATCTGTGATGGATCTGATAGGCCCTGTACATGCTAATGGAGTCTTGCCCTGTACCTGTACATAATTATTGAGCACCTACCTGGTGCTTTCATATAATGAAACCTAGCTACCTATAAAAAATTTGTCCGTCGTCATATTAATTACTTGGAATTCCTGTCTTTTATTTTGGTTGCATGAGTTACAAGCTACAGATTTCACGAACCGTTTAATTTCTCAGCATCTTCTCTCTTTGAGTTGAGGAAACATAAATGGTTGCAATCTATTGATCCCGCTGTAGACAGATGATTGTTATGAACAATGTACAGATCATTGTGTGATTAATCCTCCTTTTTACTAATGACAAAAAAGGGGAGATAAGTGGACACATTATCTAATGTCCAGGATAGACACAGTTTATACATCAACAGAAAAAGTCAGAGACACATGTATAAATTTAGGGGGAGAAGCATCAACTCAGAGCAAAGTCTCGTCAACTGCTCTCACCAATCACCACTCTTCAATTGTTTCTGAAGAAGTTTTGTCATCATAAAAAAGGTGTAGATTGTTAACCTCTGAAGTATTTTGATAATGATAAAAAGAGATATTCTAGTATTTCGAAAAGACTAACATTATTTTCTCTTGACAGGAAAATCTGTTTGGATAATAAGCCAACTCACAAAGGAACAGAAATCACTTGGATAGATGATGAAAATATGTCAAGCTGAATGAGAGACTCTGTAAACCACGATAGATGACAAGAAAAGAAGATTGGTTCGAATAGTTTGGTAAGGACGACAAGATGCAGCTTCATTAATTACTCAAAGAAATAATCAAGGGAATATATAAAGATACAATCAGCATGTGACAAAGAACATTACTAAGGCACCCAGACAACAGTACAGCCAAGTCAGCAAGAAGACCCAAGAGAAGGACTGTTCACATGCAAACCTAGTTCAGATATGCACGTTGTAATCAAAGTGCATTCAGTGATGCCGTTAGAGCTTAAGAAGTTCACGACACGAGAAGGCACGCAAGAAAGCAAGAGTTTAAATTTCGTTAATGAAGAGGAGCATGTTTACAAGTTATGAAGGAAGAGAATATTGTCAACTAAGCTGATTCCAAGAAAAAATGCCCGAAGGATGAGGAAGATATTTCAAAAGCTACAGAGAGAGGGAGATTGAAGGCTTTCGAGTATAAAAGGGAGCAGATCAAACTCTGTAGTTACTTTTGCAGATATGAAAGGTTTCTTTCTATCCTCTTGTATATCTTTGTAGAGATTGTACATTCTGAGTTTATGCACAATGTTCACCATAACCTTAATGTTGTAATGCTGTAAGAGCGAAACTCGGTTGTTGAATTTAAATGGTTGGGAAACTCCCCTTTTTCTTTCTACTTCTTGTAATTGTTGGGTGCTGAGCGAGTTAAAACTGTTGGAGAATTTCGTTGTTGGTGAGCAAGTACAAACCAACTTGTAATCGTTATGGTGTGCAAGTAAAAACCACACATTTGTGGTGACCATGTGAAACCACTTGTTTCTTGTGACTAAGTAACACAGAGGAGTAATACAACTCCAATGGGAGTCAAAGGAACTGGAATAGGCAGCACATTGGTGATCCGAACCAGTATAAAATTTCTGGTGTCGCCTTTATTTAATTTCTGCATTTCTGATATTGGTCTTTATCTATAAATCAAATCTTATTGAACTATCCCTCTGAAAATTATTGGAACAAGATTTAGAAAGAAGTGTTTTTTAAAACTTCATCAAAGTGGTCCACTGAAAGTTTTCATGCGACTGGAAACAAATTTTAAAAAGAGATCATTTTTAGATTTGAGATGAATCAGTGCAATTCAAACTCCCCTCCCCCTTTCCCTTGTACTTCCACATATAACTTTCTTATTTCAATATGTTAATTAACTTTATAACATTTTTTTAAAGCAGGTAATATAGCATCTCTTTTCTTTTTTTCTTATAGCATCTTTTTTCCATATTAGTATGTATTTTTTTAACTTCAATGTTTCAATATTCTAGATTTCTAGTTGTTGAGACCTTATAGAAAATAGGTGACACTGAATAAGAATTTGTTTGTCATATATATAAGAAAAAGCATATTTGCAAAGTAAGAAAAGCATTCAATATAAAGAAAGTGGTGTGTGAACACATAGACTATATGTATTGCATATTTGCCTCCTCTTTTGTTTGTTTTTGTTATTTTCTTTTGCCATGTCCACACTGTGCCAATGACTATTGGAGAAAGCTTCATTTAGGATATAAGATTCTCAAGTCTTCAGCTTTTGAAATGAAAAATCAAAACCAAGAAAAAGTCACTGCCCAGCTCTAGGAAACTTAACAATTGTTTGAAAAACCACCTATATTGACTACAATGTAACTAGTAGTACTGGTCTCCTCCTATTTATCATACTTTATTGTTTCCAGTGTGAAAATTGCTTCCATAATAGAAAACTTGAGTAAAATTATCAAGAAGTATTTAACAACTACTGACCACCTCTTGATATCTTAGTAGTAGTCAAACTTATCATTTTTGAGAGCCAGTTTTCTGCAAATTTCTTCATTTAAAAATCTTGTGAAGATCTCTGAAGGTAAATCCTATGTAGCAAGAGAGATGGCTGCTTATGCTGCTGTAACTTCTCTGTTGGGAACAATACACTTGATTTCACAATCCTGCTTAAAGCTTCAAGAGGGTCACAAAGAACATTTGAGATTACTCTACAAGAAGGTTAGATCTTTGCAAGAGCTTCTTGACAATAGTGATGATGAACCAACAAAGGATTTGCAAGAAAAAGTAAAAGATTTAGCACAAGAAGTAGAAGACAAAGTTGAGTCACGCATTCAAAGAGAGGCCCAGAAGACGCTTCTTAAAATGTTGCAACGAGTCTTCAACCTTCCAACAAAGGCCCATTGGAGGCTTCTTAAAATCATGCAACAAGCTATAAAAGACATTGATTCTGTGAAGGAACGGCTCATCAAGCAGCGGGAAAATAATAATCTGCCAGCTGAAATTTTTCACCTGGTGCTTCCAGTTCAGCACAATATCATGTTTCAACCATCGAAAATGATATGGTGGGGTACAACATTGAACAAAAGCTCATGGGGGATCAACTTAGGGGTCACTCGTCTCAACTGGAAGTCATCTCCATTGTTGGTATGGGTGGCATAGGTAAGTCAACTTTTGCCAAAAAAATGTTTTCTGATCCCTCAATTGTGAGCTTTTTTGATGTTCGTGGATGGATTACTGTGTCCAAGGACTACAGTTTAAGAAGGATACTTCTAGGCCTCCTTCAAGATGCTATTGGGGTGAAAGAAATGCTTGATAAGGTAAGCGATGATGCACTTGCAGATCGCTTGCAGAAAAGCTTAAAGGGTAGGAGGTATTTGATTGTTGTGGATGACATATGGAGCAAGGAAGCCTGGGATGAGATTAGACTATGCTTTCCAGAATATTGTAATAAAAGTAGGATATTGTTAACTACTCGAGACATGAAGGTTGCTCAGTATGCTAGCTTTCCTAAGGATCCTTTTCCAATGCGTTTCCTGGAGCTAGAAGAAAGTTAGAATTTGTTTTGCCAAAAGGCGTTTGACCAAAAGGTCTGTCTGATTGGATTTGAAGATGTCGCAAAGGAAGTTGTGGAACATTGCAAAGGATTACCACTACTGATTTCTGTGGTTGCAGGGACTCTCTCTAGTAAGAGGACGCTGGACGAGTGGAGGAAAGTAGCTCAAAGCGTCAGTTCATTAGTAAACCTTGATGATTATCAACGTTGCTCAGGAGTGCTTTCTTTGAGCTACAATCATCTTCCGTCTCATTTGAAAGGTTGTTTTCTGTATTTTGGGGTTTTCCCAAAAGCTAGTGAGATTTCTGTGAAGAAGTTGATTAGATTATGGGTTGCAGAAGGATTCATAGAGCTGAAGGGGCTTGAGGGATTGGAAAAAGTAGCTGCTAATCTTTTACATGATCTTATTGATAAAAGTCTAGTTGTTGTTAGCAAGCAGAGTTTGGCTGGCAAAATCAAGACATGCAGGATTCATGATCTTCTCCATGATTTATGCTTGAGAGAAGCTGAAAGCGAGAATCTATTGTACGTCGCAAATCCAGTTACTTATGAAGGATCCAGAAGGGTTTCCTCTCAAGGTCGTCGGTGGGTGTCTGTTCATCCAAAGCGAGGTTGTTTTTCTTTCATTTCTTTTGATGATCTTATTCACAGCATAACACGTTCTCTTCATATTTCTTCCAACATAACAGAGTGGCGTCTTAAATTAGAACTAGACCATTTCATACTTCTTAGGGTATTGGACTTAGAGACATTGAGCTTCGGTTATTTCCCTAGTGAAATATTACACTTAGTGTCTTTAAGGTATTTGGCTGTGACAGCCGTTGAGATTCCTGAAGATACATCAATTTCCAAACTTTGGAACTTACAAACTTTTCTTTTTCGCCAATATATTCCAGAACTCAGTGGGACCATATATTTATCAAATGGATTTGGATGATGTCTCAATTGAGACATCTCCACTCTACAAGGATGTATTTATATTCTCCTCCAAAGGTATCAGCCAACGATGTTAAGTACTGTTTTTTGGAAAATTTGCAAAGTGTTTCTGGGATGAGTCCTCGTTGTTGCACCAAGAAAACATTTGAAGGGATTAAGAAAGTGAAGGAATTGGGAATTGGTGGCAATACAAGCGATTTCTACAAGAAGCCCAAATGCCTAGATAATCTTATATATTTACATGAGCTCGAGGCACTAAGAATTGCATCGTACAACTCTGAACCAGATGGTTTGTTTCTTAGGCTTCCATGTCCGGGTTCTTTCCCACCAAATCTCAAGAAGCTGACACTTTGTCGCACTTTTCTACCATGGGAAGACATGGCAATCCTTAGCAAGTTGCCCAAACTCGAGGTGCTCCAATTGAAGGCTCATGCCTTTGTAGGTAGTGAGATTGTAGGAGAAACTGTCTGGGAAGTAACAGAGATTGGGTTTCTTGAATTAAAATTCTTGTTCCTAGAGAAGTTGCATCTTGACTATTGGAGAGTGACCGATGATTATTTCCCATGCCTTGAACGCATAATTATCAAAAATTGCAGTTCATTACAAGAGATTCCTAAAGGATTTGCAGATAGTATGACACTGCAGCTAATTGAGTTACATCAGTGTTCTCCTTCCCTTGTGAATTCTGCTGAGCTGATCCGGAAAGAGCAATTAGAGAGCCTGGGAAACAACATGCTTAAAGTTTATGCCTTTGACAAAATTAGAGGTAAGTAAAATAATTCTGAATGAATATCAACAGCCACTATAAGTTTGACTCTGATGAACTGTGTTAAATCAATAGATAAGAATTAAACCGTTGATTGTGATAAGTTTTTCTGCGCATGACTACTATATTGTTGAATATAATAATGTAAGGAAATCGAATGGTTCATAACATCTTATATATGATTGGCCATGTTAGGGACTTTTACTATGATATATAGATTCCTTGAAATGGTGTATAACAATTGTTGCACGTCGTATCTGATATTTATATCTAACTTGTTTTCTTTATAAATTTATCTATTTACTTATTCATTCATGGCAATAATGAAGTTCATTACATATCTAAGTTCATCATCTTACCTGTATATTTAGAGGCTTCGCCCATTAACCATATCGAAAGGAAGCATCCTGACGTATTATCAGAACATAAGTGCAAACTTAGCTCAACAGTGACTAGTAAGAGAATGAAATATGCAGGAAGTAAGTTTTCAGGGGCCAAATGTCGTCTATGGTAACATAATCGAAAACAATCAAATACTACATATGTTTTAGAGTACATTGTGTATTTTAAGTTGAATAAATGGGAGAATGAAGGCTAAATTCAAATTGTTGGGACATTTTCTGATAGAAATATAATAGAAACAACAACCCTTTTGAAAGGGTGCCATATGAACTGTTGCAAATTAAAAAAAATAAGTCTCCTACATCTATGATAATCCGGGGACGTGCTGAACAATGATCGTATCACGTATGTTTGAAGTTAGATATGATAAATATTTTTTAAAATATGTATGTGTCATAATGAGTTTCCAACTCTGATTATATCTCACCTTTTCACTTTACACTTACTGAAAATTCACTTGTAATGGCCATTGTACAGAGAGAAATTCTGATGAAGATTCTGGAGATTCAACAGAGGAAGTTATGGAAGAGACTGACGAAGATTCAGAGGAAGATTGAGCAAATCGGTTTTAAGGTAAACTTGTGAGGAAAGGTGTGTAGGTTTATACTAGATGTGTCATAGCCCGTGCTTAGTACGAGCCCAACAACTTGAAGTAATGCAATACACCTTAGCTTGGTCTGATTTGCATCCTCACTTGTTTGTCGTCATGGTTGAAATT